AATTCGAATCTACTATTGAACCAGCTCCTCCAGTGAATTTTAAATTTCAGTTATTATACTTTTCAACCCCAGAATTTCTATTGTATTCCCCTTTATAATTTATACCTCTTCACTGATATTCTCTATTTGGTAAGACATCACAACAGCCCCCGCCCCCAGAAGCCCTCATCCCATATATTTATTGCTTAATATGCTGCGCAAAGGGTATGATGATCTACGTATCACATTTATTGTCTATCTCTCCTGTTACGAGTGATCTGCTCAAAGGCAGACATTCCTCCAACGTTCTCTTCACTCTTGTACCCCAGTACCTGCCATGCAGTAGAAGCTATGCATGTGGGGGCACAGGTGAGATTCTAGGTGTAGCACAGGTGAGACTGCAGGTGAGGGGTGTGGCTGTTCTGGCCTGGGAGGTATAATCAGGGTCTACAGCTGACATCCAGTCACCTCGCCCCTGCCCCACCCGCAGAAGCAGATGCAGCAGATCATGGCCCACTGCTTCCTGGCCGTCAAGTCCAAGCTCGAGTGCAAGCTGGGTTACTTTGACCTCATTGGCTGTGACTTCTTGATTGATGAGAACTTCAAGGTGCCGTTGAGGTGTCCCAGGGCAGTGGGGGCTAGTAGGCAGGGGCATCTGTATACACCCTGACCACCCAGGCAGGCCCCTTGGGGTGGACTCTGCAGTCAGACCTCCCCAAGCCCTGGGGGGTGGGGCGGTGTCCATAGGGCTTCGCTCCTCCTGCAGCTAGGGCAGCCTCCAAGATCAGACCCTCAGACCCTTAGAGTCTCAGCCCCTTGTGCAAATGTGGGATGTGAGGCCATAGAAAAGAAGCGACCTACCCAGGGTCACCTGGCCTAACAGGGAGCAGGTCCTCAGCCTCCTGCTGGCCAAGTGGTGGCTGGGGAAGGGTGCTGATCAGTGTCCGGCCCAGGTGTGGCTGCTGGAGATGAACTCCAACCCTGCCCTGCACACCAACTGTGAGGTCCTGAAGGAGGTGATTCCAGCCGTGGTGGTGGAGACGCTGGGTAAGGCCCCTGCCCAGTCTTGGATCTGCCATCCCCACCTTCTCCCCGGATTCCCCCTTCAGATGTCCACACACTTAGCTCTCTAACATCTGAAGGGCCAGCGGGGCAACCCCACCCTCTNTCACTGGCCCATGTGGGAATTGAACCGGCAACCCTGTTGCTCAGAGCTCATGCTCTTAACCAACTGAGCCACTCAGCAGACCCTGTTTCCAGTTTTGTGTGTTGCTTTAAGAGCGTGTTGTTTAATTTCCACATATTTGTGAATTTTCCAATTTTCCTTTTCTTATTGATGTTTATTTCATTCTATTGTGGTCAGACAACATACTTTATATGATTTCAACCCTTTAAAAATTAGTGAGGCAGACACTAGCTAGTCTGGGGCCTCTCAGTTTTGTTTTGCTGTGCTTCCGGACCCCGAGCCCACTGCCGCAACCATGCTGCGCCAAATCCTCGGCCAGGCCAAGAAGCACCCGAGCTTGATCCCCCCTTTGTGTTTATTGGAGCTGGAGGTACTGGAGCAGCACTGTATGTTTTGCGCCTGGCATTGTTCAATCCAGATGTCTCTTGGGATAAAAAGAATAACCCAGAACCCTGAAACAAACTGGGTCCCAATGAGCAATACAAGTTCCACTCAGTGAATGTAGATTACAGCAGACTGAAGAAAGAAGGTCCAGACTTCTAAATGAAATGTTTCTAATAAAGCTGCTTAGAATGAAGGTCTTCCAGAAGCCATCCGCACAATTTTCCACTTAACCAGGAATATTCCCCCTCCTAATGCACGAAATCATGTTGGTGTGTTATGTTGGGGTCACACTGATTAATAAATATCTGAAACTTGAAAAAAAATTAATGAAACTTGTTTTATGCTCTGACAAATGTCTATCCTGGAGAATGTTCCATGTGCACTTGAGAAGAATGTGTGTTCTGCTATTGGGTGGAGTGTTCTATAGATGTCTATTAGGTCTAGTGGTTTATAGTGTTGTTCAAGTCTTCTATTGACTTGTCAATCTTCTGTCTAGATGTTCTATCCATCATTGAGAGTGGAGTACTGACATCTCCAACTGTTATTGTTGAATTGTTGATTTCTCCCTTTAATTCTCTCAGTGTGTGCTTCCTGTATTTTGAAACTCTTTGTTAGGG